CCCACCCCAGGGGGCTCCTCCTGCTCCACTGGGCGATGAAGAAATGGTGAGGGCTCAGGGCCTGAGCCCCTCGGGCCACATGTGCACTTGGCCGGGGTCCCGCAGGCGGCGGGGCCGGATCCCCTGTGTTCCCGTGGGCGCTGCTCGGCGAGTTCTTGGAGCCACGTTCTAGCGTCTCAGCACCAGCCAGAAGAGCCCGTGGCCCAGGAGTCACGTGTGGGATGAGGGAGCGAGGCCCACGGAGGACACTTACCTGCGGGGATCAGGGCAGGAAGGGAGCCGGCTCGGAGCCCACGTTCTCCCAGCAGCCATGGCATCACCCTCCCGTGTAACCGCCCTCGGGGATGCTCGTGTTCTTTCCACCAGATTGCTCTTCCTTGCACACACACACACACACACACACACACACACACGGTGGAAATCGCGCCCTGCCTCCTCTTGGTCCACACGCATGTCCATGCTAATCGTGGCAAGGGGCTGGTTTCCTGAACCCCGGCCCCAGGCTGAAGGGAGCCTTTGTCTCCCGTCTGGAACACGGGCTCGGGGGTTCGGCCTTTTGCTGAGGGCGGAAGCGATGCTGTCCCTCCACATGCCACCCACGGGAGGGCTGGTTCCTTCCTTGGAAACCGGAGCCCCGCCATCCATCACCGGCCTTGTCACTGATGTCAGCTGCTGGCCCCAAGGGCTCGCTGGGCTGGGGAGGGGCGAGGAGGTGGGATCTCTGAGCGGAGGTGCCTGGGGCGCTGGCGGAGCTGCCAGCTCCGCCTCGGTGGGTCTGGTCCCCGCCCTGTCGCAGTGCAGGCCCACCGGAGACCAGGAGGCCAGGGGGCCGGAGGGGGAAACCCACCCACAGGTCCTGAAAGGGCAACGGGCACTATTCAAACGTGTTATTATCTCGGTCAGTCACGTTATTTCTTCCCTCGAGTTTCTCAAATTGCTCCGAGTTGTTATGCCTCAGAGATAATCACACAGACACTTGGCCACTGGCCCCAGCCTCTCCTGGAATGTGGTGACAGTGGTGATGGGCCCCCTGCTGTCAGCGGTGAATGTTGCTGTTTTGACAGCATTTCGGAGGCACACTTTGTCCTTGAGCCAGCGGCAGGAACTGCCGGAGACCCACGTCCCGCCTGACGCTCAGGCTCCTGACTGTTCTGAGATGCTAAACAAATAGGTCCCCCCCTGGCGTGGGGACCTACTGTGTTCCGGGGCCCTGTGGGCCCTCGAGCACCCCCTCCCCATTAGTGTCTCTGCGGCCCTCGAGGCGTTGGGAACACAGTCCTCACAGCTGCCCAGTGGCTGCCACGCTGTGAATGCTGACCGTCCAGCAGGCACTGGCCTCCAGTCTGATCCCTCAGCTGTGGGAGCCACACAGAGCAGCCGATTGTCTGTCCTCGCGTTCCAGAGGGGAAACTGAGACCCAGAGGGGCGGGGATGGTTGTCCTGGTTGCGCTGCCTGGAAGCAGCAGCCCTGGGCTGTGACGGCCTCTGTGTGTGGCCTGTGGAGTGACCATGCTGTTGGTCACTGTGCTGGGTAGTCTGGCCGCCTGCACATCTCCAGGGACATCGTATCTGCTTCTCCCTCGACCTGAGCTCGCCCAGGGAATCCTCACCCTTCCTCATTTTTAGCTGTGGAGCTGCCCAGTTCGGGCCAAGCAGCAGGGCCTCTCCAGGGAGGGGCAGGGAGGGGGGAGCGAGGCCACCCCGATCCAAGCTGGGTGGTGATGCCTTGAGGGGCCATCAGAACCATGTGCCTCAGAGTTGCCCTTTGAGTCCAGCAGAGTAAAGCCCGTTCTCTGAGCTCCCACAGCACTCGATCCAGGGATCTGCTGGTTCGTGGGTCGTCTCACGTGACTGCTGTTTCTAAACAGTGTTCTGGAGCCAGGCCCGGGACCTTCCCCAGATGCTGCATTTGGGGACCTAGAGACAGGAAGATGCAGGAGGCAACACCTGTCATTTCCTGCAGGGAGCCAGGCTTTACCTGAGGCGCTATAAACACAGAGTCTGTCTTCCCAACTCCTGGGCGAGGGCCTCTCGGGCAGGGACCAGGCCCCAGGCCTGTGGTGCTCCCTTGCCCAGTCCAAGGCCATGGTGTGGGCATGTTGGGAACTAGCCATGGGGATGCTCTGATGATGGAGTGAGAGACTGAGGGGGTGGGGGGGAGAAAGACTGAATG